ATCTCTATCTTTGGTTCTTGCCTACAAGAAGAAGGCCAGTGTTGTCACCTGTGAAGGAAAGTGTGGTGACCACTTGTTGGTTGAATCCAAGCTAGACTGATTTTAACAATAAGAATATAGTTAATCAAAATTAGTATGCTATTTTAAAAAGTATTATGATATATATATATATATATATATAACATAAGAGTAGGCATAATCAATAATAGTATATTTAACAAATAATTATGATAAAGATGTATTACATTAGATACAACCAGTGGTCCGTGTGGCAGCGACCACAACGACCAGTGTGGCAGCGAGGAGTGGTCTGTGTGGCAGCAACTCTAGACTGTGGAGCCTCGTCTCATGCCCTCTCTCGCCAAATTAAAAGATTAAGTCTGGTTCGCGATTTCTTCTTCATACTAGACACTGGTGTTTTTGAATTGAATAACGGCAACCATGCGCATAAAATACTATCTATTCATTTCCAGGCCATTTTATCAACTTAGTTAGCCATTTAACTTTGGAAAGTCTTGTTTATGGTTTCAAAACTTAAAACCTCCAGAATTTTTTATGTTGCATAGGGTATCTTTCCCTAAATAATGACATTTGTTCCTCCAAATGAAATTAAATAATCTTATCTAATTCTTTGTATATTTCAGTAGGCATTTCCAGTGATAAGGATACATAGATCTGGATATTCCCTCAGTATTAGATAGTAGAACTCTACCATTCAGTGAAAGATGCCTCATCCACCACATGTTGAACCTTTTCTCATTATTTGTTTAATCATAGGGCTGAAGTTTAGATTATTGCAGAGTTTTTCATTCTTATCAAACCCAGTATGTAACTGGGTTCTTCACAGGGATACCAATAACTTCTGATAGTTCACATTCCTTAAGTGGTAGCCTAATAAACAGATTTGTTCAAGTTCATTCTTAAGCCTGATACAGTAGAAAATTCCTCAACACATTAATTGCTTTGATCCATTCCTCTCTATTAGACAAAAAAAAACACCGACCAGTGTGGCAGCAGTGTGGAGCCTCATCTCATGCCCACACGCACAAACACACACACATCAGTCCATACTTGTCCGTGATGTCTGCGATATTGCAGCAAAGTTTGAGTTTGAATAGCGTGAAAAATGCCACCAAAGATATTGCTCAAGGAGAGACGCAATTTCACCCTTTATGATAGGTATAATATTTAAGTGTTATTATTTTACGCACTGATGGCCGCCAGCACACAATAGCAATCATATTATCACATGTAGCGCTGTACTAATTGGAGGATGCATCAAAAAGTCAATAATGCTAAAGAAATAAGCAGCAGTCAATACAGAGTCTAATTCTAGTTTCATGTTTGCTGGTCGCGGCCTTAACCTGCTTGTTCAAAACTGAGCACGATAGCGGCTGATGGTGGAGAAGTGCAGCCATCCTGTCAGTCATAAAGTGCGCAGCGTAAGGTAGTTTATTAGGAAAGTATGCTCATATCTTTTTATGTAAATAATAAACAGATTTGTTCAAGTTCATTCTTAAGCCTGATACAGTAGAAAATTGCTTTGATCATTCTAGAGAACGACCTGGCTGGTAACCATAAATCGTACGCTTCACAGTGCTTGGATCAGTCCTTTGGCTAACTCGGCTAAGCTTGTCTTAATATCAGAATAAACACAACAACCAAATATAAAAGCAAATAAACATGTAAAATACAAAAAGAAAATAACTAAACGTGCAAAACTAAAAACAACTCAAAACCCACACAAGACAAGCAAATACTTAGACCAGTAACTATCAAGTCTTTAATTGTAACGTGCAACACACACAGTCAAAACAGGAAATGGAGGTCTCTTCTGATGCAGTCTTTAAATATCCTAAAATCTGTCAATCCACCCACACAAGGGAAACAGGCTTCAGCTCCACAATCCAACACACTTTTACTCTCTGGAATGAAGTAGATAATGCGTAGGAGAGGTTCTTATTTGGAAAAGGAGGGGGGAAGGAATCCTCATGTTCCTCACCAGCATCCTCACCTACGCGAGTCCTCACGAGCAGCTTTCCCTCCAGTCAACCCGGCCGCTGCTTGAACTTGTCTACCTCAAAGATTGTGCATCCTAAATGGTAAATGGTCTGTATTTGTATAGCATTTACATTTACATTTACTCATTTGGCAGACGCTTTTATCCAAAGCGACTTACATTTGAGGAACAACATACAAGCATCAACAGAGCATCAACTACAGATCTACAACTGACAATACATACTAGTAAGAGCAGCAATAAATACTAGTAAGAGCTCACAGTACATATCACATCAATGGGGTAAATAAGGAAGTAAGAGTTAACCAAATGTACAATCAAAACAAAAAGTGCAATCAATACAAGATCATTGTGGGGGATAGAAGAAGAAGAGCACAGGAAGTGCATGTTAGAGGTTAGGAGTTAGAGGTGTTATAAGACCTTTGTAGTCTTCCGACCACTCAAAACGCTTTACACTTCGTTACATTCACCCATTCACACACATTCATACACTGAGCCTAAGTGCTAAAACGGAAACTAACACTCACACAGATTCATACACTGATGAGCCATCGGGGGCTTGCCCAAGAAGGGGCGATTCTAGGAGCAGACCTTTAGGGGTGCTCAGCCCCTAATGAGAATGTAGCATGCATACAATGCCTTGCAAAAGTGGTGGGGACATGCTGGAGACATCTCCCCACCCCGCTGATTTTGTCCCCATCACTTTTTGAGAGCATTTGTTAACAATCTTCTGAAAAAAAAGCACCAAGAAATGTTAACTAACAAATGAAAATGCGTTGAGAAAGGTTTATTTGCACAATAAAAAACATGCAATGCAATATAGTTTTCCCTCATATAAAAACAGACATTTCCACCTTAAATTGGAGCAGAAAATGTCTCCCGAATGCAGGAAATTACCAGTTTAATGCTAAAATCTTGCCTTGTCTTGTTCTTGTGCATCGTCGCGTCTCATGATCCATTACGCCCCTAATCTGAGCCCTTATGTCCCCACCACTTTTCAACACAAAGTGACGCCCTTGATGCAGACACACAAAGATTCTTCACATTGCAAACTGTATATATATATATATATATATATATATATATATATATATATATATATATATATATATATATATATATATATATATATATATATAATATATATATTGTGTGTGTGTATGGTATGTATATGCATTACTAATTGTGCACCTATTATTCATTAGTCGGTTAAGTTGGCGCATTCAGCTGCCTCTTGTCTCAACATTTTTCTTCTTAATTCTTATTTTTCGGCACCACACATTTCTTTTTCCTCTTTCTTTCTTTTCCCATATTTACCGTCTCTGTTGCACTTGTCACACAACCCTGGGCTGAGTTCAGCCCCGACAAATGTAGCAAACCGGTGTAAAAGGTTTTTGGATTAAACTCGCCCCAGAGGGAAAGTAAACACCTCTCATCGGCGCCGTTGAGACAATCATAATTCAGCCAAGTTGGGAGGGGCCGCTCGTATCCCTCCTCAATATTGAAAGTATTAGTTTGGCCCCGAGAGACAGACACACAAGCAGCGTTCCGCAAAAGCTGACCTGTTGGCCAGCGCGGTTGCGGATCATTCAGTAAAACATTAGAAACTGAAAAATGTCAGTATTCAGGGACATTAAATCCGTTTAATAAAGAAAAGCCATATCAAACTGTAGGCTAATTGGTTGTCCCTTCTCTTGCTTCTCCAAAATCTAAAATTGGAGGACAGAAAATAATATAAAATCGCCCCTATGCCCAAGGACACTTCGAAACACATTCCGACATGGTCTGTTTGTGGAAATTGGACTAAAAACAATTGCATGTGTATGTAAATAAAATGAGTTTTTTCCATATCTAATATAAATGTGTGGTGGTTTTCTACAAACAGGTTGCTCTGTTTTGTAGAAGTACGTCTTGTTTCATGTTAAAACCACAAACCAACCTGAGTGTGATTTCTCTTTAGTTCTGACCTCACTGCTGAGCTGCACAACAAACCAAGGTGAGAAAACTTCTTCTGTCACAGCCACAGTGTGCAGCCTGCAACACTGAGTGGTTAACAGATAAAAAAGATGTTTACAAACATGTTGCCAGATCTCAACCAACACTGAAAACATGCAGAAAACTTTCATCTATCAGCTCAAATCTGAGTTTAATTCAGTGCCTGAAACTCAGAGATCAGTTCAGCAGTGAAGAAGTGAGAAAGTAGGAATATCAGGAATGTGGAGAAAATTATGCAAATCTCTCTAACCACATCTTTCTGTCTCTTCCTCCAGCCTCTCTGACTGTGAGTCCCAGCAGCTCTCAGCTGTTTAAAGATCAGTTGTCTCTCTGAGCTGTGAGGAGGACGACAGCTCTGCTGGATGGACGCTGAGGAGGAACACAACCAGAAACCAGGACTCAGTGTGACGACTGGGGAAATCAGCTGGTTCTTCCTGTTACATCAGCTACATCCCATGGGACAGTGGAGTTTACTGGTGTGAGTCCAGAGAGGGAGCAACCAGTAACACCATCAACATCACTGTCACTGGTAAGATCAGACTGTGGAGTTAGTGTTGATGAAGCTGTGTGTAAATGATGAAATGCTGTAGTTTGTCTCTGTGTTGAGGTGGACCAGTGATCCTGCAGAGTCCTGTCCTCCCTGTGATGGAGGGACATGATGTCACTCTGCACTGTAAAACAAAGACCCCTCCCTCCAACCTCCCAGCTGGTTTCTATAAAGATGGCTCCCTCATCAGGACTGAGCCTACAGGTCACATGACCATCCACCATGTTAACAAGTCTGATGAAGGCCTCTACAAGTGTACATCAGAGGTCGTGGAGAGTCTCCATCCAGCTGGATCTCTGTCACAGGTGAGGAGGTTACCTTTGATTTCAGGACTTATTTCATCCAGAGATTCACCTGACCAGGTGGGATTCTCTCTACAGGTAAACCTACAACCTCAGCTCTGCCCACATCCGCAGCTCTGCCCACCCCGCCCCCGCCTCCTCCATCGCCACCTGCCTCAGCCCCCCTCCAACTTGTGTTCAGACTGATCTACCACCTGGTGGTCTTCTGTCCATACTGCATCTCCACTGTCCTCATGGTGTCTTTATATCGACACAGGGCCACAGGTAACACTGAATCATTCACTGATCTTACAATCAATCAGTCAATCAATTAATAGATCAATCATTACCCTTATTAATTTAGCTGATGCTTACTGATTGATATTTTCTTTCTACCCTGCTCTGACTGCAGGAAATGACCTGCCCGTCTCTATGGTGATGACCCCGCCCCCCCAGGCTGATGAGGGATTGAATAATGACTATGATGACATCATCACTGCTGTCACCACAGAGCATCACTTCTGAGCTGATCCAGTGTGTTGTGGTTCTTAAATGAAGATAAAATCTTTACGTCGTCAGCAAATAAACCTCAGACCCCTGGACAAATGGACAAAGCTGTCGACATGTTTTTGGTCCAAATAAAAGCTCAGGTTCAGGTTCTGGTTTGAGTTTTGTTGTTACTCTTGCTTGTTTGGTTTAGATGTTTTAAAACAGGGTATGTTTACTTTATTTACTTTTAAAGTTTTCAATAAACTTCACAAAATTGACCAAACCTCAGTCTCTGTCATGCTAAGTTGCAAGTTATACAGAGGATGTATCATGTTTTGGGTTTGGCTTTTTCTTTGTTCATCTTTGTTGTGTTTCTGCCATTTCCTCCTGTGTTTATCACTCCCCGCCTCCTGTGTTCTTGTTTTTTTGTCAGTTGTTCGTTTGTTTCTGTGCTCTGTTTTTATTTTTTTGCCCTCGTGCGTCTTTGTGAGTTTTACTTCCTGGTTTGTTTTGGAGCGTCCGGTGTCTTTGTCTAGCTTTGTTTCTGTTCAGTCTATTAGTCCCATGTGTCTCACCTGTGTTACAGTTACCCTGCCCCCTCTATATAACGGTAGGTTTGTTTGTTCCCTTTTGTCAGATCCTTGTAGCTTGTTGTGCTCTTTCAAATGTGTTCCAGTTTTTAATCTTGCTTGTTTTGTTTGTGGATCTTTGTTGCACTTTTGCCTTCTTTTGATTTTGATTGGCTGTTTTGATTTTGTTTCTTTATGGATTTGTTTGGACTCAGCCACTCTCACTAGGGGTGGGGGAAATAATTGATTTTTAGATGCATCGCGATGGGGACTTGGACGATTATGGATCGATTCACAAATGTCAATAATATTTGTATTGGATAAGGTCATTAGTAATTTTCACCAGTTCTGTCTCTGTGCTATGATGATCTCTAAATCCTGAGTGACAATCCTCAAATAAACTCTTGCTCTGTAGAAAGTCACACAGCTGTTTGGCGACTGCTTTCTCAAGCATCTTTGGGAGAAATGGAAGGTTAAATATAGGTTTACAGTTTGCTAAAACCCCTCGATCAAAAGCGGAAGAGGTTTAATTACAGCTACTTTAAAGTACTGTGGTACATAGCCTGTTGCCAATGTTTGCCTTAACTTGTGAGTTTCTGTGTTATACTACGGGGCTAACGGTACATGGTGAAACCAGAGGTGTTAAACACAACAGATGTAATAAGGACATGTGCTTATGTACAAAATGAAGAAAACGTGGGTTGAATTCAGCAGTGGCCTGCCACAGTCACTCTTACTAGCCATTTTTGCGGATGGCATTCATAAAGTTGCCCCCTAAAAGTCATGAGTCAGGTCAGCAGTCGGGAAGAGAGGTATACATTTGAATAGTTTGTTTTTATAATTGTTTTGTTTTGTTTTTTGTATGGACCTAAAAGTGAAGAAACAAAAAACAGAGCCATATTTCCATGAATCAAAAAAAAGTAATTAAAATAACTGTCCAATTTTGTTTCATTTTTTTTGTTTCTCTGTTTGAAGAAATAAACTAAGTAAAGACAGACAGGTGGGTCAGGTGACCCGTAAGTAAAAGTAAATATAACAAAATATATGAATTTCTTGGGGGGACTTTTACAGGCCTGTCGGTCTTGAGAGCCTTTTGGCTTCAAAGTCAATGTTCTGCAGCCATGCCAGAATACAGGGGTGAGGTTGAATGATGATGATGATGATGATGAAGGTACAGTGTAAAAACAATGAGCACAGCTGGTGACTATGACTGGGTTTCTGACAAGAACAAACCACATGTCTCTATTTTTCAATTGTCCTTTATTTATTGCCACATGATCATATGTTGTTCATCATATGTTTATAGATGTATATTTGTTTGGTAAATTATATACAAATACCAAGTTAATACATGCTGTCTATAAAAGACTAAATTGGCAAAAGATGTGATTTGTCTCTCAGTAAGTGTCACCACTGTGCCTCTGCACAACCTGGTCAGTTTTTCAATTTGAGCCTCAACATAAAGTTTATTTCCTGTTAACTATGTGAGAAAACCACAAGAGAACGAGTGACACACAAAGAGGAAGGAGGAGGGTTTTACTTGGTTTGACTGGTGAACGTTAATGTGTTGATCTCAGATGGCCGAGAGTTAAAATGGAGAAATCATCTTTACCGTGGCTGCTTGGTAAGCAAGAATCTACTTAATGTGTGAATGTTTGTCTCCACGTTGTCTCAAAGATTAGGTCTAAAACATTTCTGGTGATTTTGAAAGCAACAGCGAGTTATAGAGTGAACAACATGAATACAAAGACAGAAATCAGCCAAACAGATCGTGTACATGTTAACTGCAACAACAGAGCAGGAATTTCAGTGTTGTTTGATAATATGGCAGCAAAAAGCAACACAAACATTACAGCAAGTGTTCATTGCGATTGTTAACAGTAGTTATTCCTACAGTATATCATAAAATAGAAGAAAGAGGTTGAAAGCATGTAGAAAAGTTTTATACAGAAAGGTATTTACTATCCTGAAGTGCTACAGAAGAGAAAACACACACATGCCAAGCTCGGACCAGAGGATGACTATTTAAAACACAATTATTAAGAATTTAACAAAGTTAAAATACACAAAAACAAACAAGTTAAAACAGGGTTTATTCATTTATTGGCACCTTAATTGTTTATAAAATTGACAGTGGCAAATACTCCGGGGCCAAAGCTGCTCAGTGTGTTTCCAGAATCCTCCAGTACGCTTTGTTCCACCTGCTGAGCTCCTCCAAGCTCTCAGTCCTCCTTCTGGCCGCCTGATGGTGAGAAACAGTAACCTTAAATGACCGAGTGGTGACAGCAGTCAAGGAGTCAAGTAAACTGTCTGCTTCACAGTGCTTGGATCAGTCCTTTGGCTAACTCTGCTAAGCTTGTCTTTATATAAGAATAAACACAACAACCAAATATAAAAGCAAATAAACTAAATAACTAAACGTGCAAAACTAAAAACAACTCAAAACCCACACAAGACAAGCAACTAGACCAGTAACTATTAAGTCTTTAATTGTAATGTGCCACACAGAGGCAACACAGGAAATGGAGGTCTCTTCTGAGGCTGTCTTTAAATATCCTAAAATCCATCCATCCACCCTACACACAAGGGAAACAGGCTTCAGCTCAGCTATCCAACTCTCTGGAACAAAGTAGATAATGCGTGGAGAGGCCCCAACGCCATCTTTCACTCCTGCTGCGTCGAAGGTTTCATGTCCTGACTGCTCTGTTTGGGGAAATTGAACTAAATCAAAATTGTATGTCTCCTTAATAAAATACAATTTTTTATTTCCAAAGCTAATATCAATGTGTGGCTGTTGTTCTGTTTTGTAGAAAGTCCAGATGTCTTGTTTCATGTAAAACTCAAACCAACCTGAGTGTGTTTTCTCTTTAGTTCTGACCTCACTGCTGAGCTGCACAACAAACCAAGGTGAGCAAACTTCTTCTGTCACTGCCAAAGCTGTCCAGACTGCAACACTGAGTGGCTAAGAGATAATGAATAAAAAAACTCATGTAGCCACACCTCAACCAACGTTATAAGTATGCAGAAAACATTTGGGAAAATCAAATCAGTGGGATTCGAATTTCTTCTCTGAAACTCAGCGACTGAAACTCAGAGATCAGTTCAGCAGTGAAGAAGTGAGAAAGTAGGAATATGAGGAATGTGGAGAAAATTCATGCAAATGTTCTCTCTAACCACATCTTTCTGTCTCTTCCTCCAGCCTCTCTGACTGTGAGTCCCAGCAGCTCTCAGCTGTTTAAAGGAGAGTCTGTCTCTCTGAGCTGTGAGGAGGACGACAGCTCTGCTGGATGGACGCTGAGGAGGAACACAACCAGAAGAACCAGGACTCAGTGTGACGACTGGGGAGGAGAACCAGCTGGTTCTTCCTGCAACATCAGCTACATCGCTGTCACTGGTAAGATCAGACTGTGGAGTTAGTGTTGATGAAGCTGTGTGTAAATGATGAAATGCTGTAGTTTGTCTCTGTGTTGAGGTGGACCAGTGATCCTGCAGAGTCCTGTCCTCCCTGTGATGGAGGGACATGATGTCACTCTGCACTGTAAAACAAAGACCCCTCCCTCCAACCTCCCAGCTGGTTTCTATAAAGATGGCTCCCTCATCAGGACTGAGCCTACAGGTCACATGACCATCCACCATGTTAACAAGTCTGATGAAGGCCTCTACAAGTGTAACATCAGCGGTCGTGGAGAGTCTCCATCCAGCTGGATCTCTGTCACAGGTGAGGAGGTTACCTTTGATTTCAGGACTTATTTCATCCATAGATTCATCTGATCAGGTGGATTCTCTCTACAGGTAAACCTACAACCTCAGCTCTGCCCACCCCGCCTCCTCCATCACCACCTGCCTCAGCCCCCTTCCAGCTTGTGTTTAGACTGATCTGCCACCTGGTGGTCTTCTGTCCGTACTGCATCTCCACTGTCCTCATGGTGTCTTTATATCGACACAGGGCCACAGGTAACACTGAATCATTCACTGATCTTACAATAAGTCAATTCATAAAATCAATCAATACATTTATCAGAGAATTTTATCCAAAGCAACTTACAATTACTACTGTATACATGTCAGATGTCGCGCACCTATGGAGCAACTAGGAGTTAAGTTCCATGCTCAGGGGCACATTGGTGGAATTGAACCCAGGTCTCTCACACCAAAGACATTTGTCTTATCCACTGCACCATCACCACCACAATCAATGACGTCAGTGATTGACAGTTAGATGAAGATAAATTAAGTAAATTTTCTTTCTAACCTGCTCTGAGTGCAGGACATGACCTGCCAGTCTCTATGGTGATGACCCCGTCTACCCAGGCTGAGGAGGGATTGGATGATGACTATGATGATGTCACCACAGAGCATCACTTCTGAGCTGATCCAGTGTGTTCAGTGTGTTCTGGTTCTTAATGAAGTTGAACAGATGGTGATTAGGGTAGTCACTGATGAACCACTCTCACCACATTTAAACAAATAATGATAATCTTTGGTTTGTGCTCGAGTCTGCAGAGTTTGAAATCTCACCACATTTCAACCCTCTTTTCTCAACACACTGTATCCTACAATTACTTTATTATGGTTAAACCAGGTTTGCTATGAGTATCATGCTTAAATGGGGTTAGGGATAGCCTAACTCATAACTAATTTCCCTCATGTTTATTAAAGCATTCATCTTTCCCAATGTATAAGACAACGCTAAAATACCATCTTAGTTGTCATAGCCCTACATTGAGAAAATGCTTACTATACTGCATAATAAAAAAACTGAACAAGACATATATCTCATTTGCAGAAACAAGAAGACAATAAAATCAGCTTTCAAATAAATGATAGCCTTTACAATGACATTTGTATAATTTCAGTACATTTAATATATCTTTGTGTCCACGTCCACAGTGTAAGTTAGTGGTTCAAAGGCATGTAGAACTTTCAAAAGTTCAATTTATGATGCTGATAACAATGTTTGTTCTAGCCTACTATGCAAATATGCATCAAGCTAGATTCCTGCCTTCAACCTGCTGATAGTAACTTAAACCAGGGGTCCTTAACTACTTTTGTTAAATAATGTTTTCATTCAGGCTTCATTAGCATACTAGTGTTTCTACTAGTGTCATACTAAATGTTTTTACTGCCTATATCACTCTGAAAAGCCAAGGAGCCTTTATAATTTCCACCTGTTGTCTATTCCATTTGCACAACAGCATGTGAAATTTATTGTCAATCAGTGTTGTTTCCTTAAGTGTTCAGTTAATAAGTTTGATTTCACAGGAGTGTGATTGACTTGGAGTTACATTGTGTTGTTTAAGTGTTCCCTTTATTTTTTTGAGCAGTGTATTATCAGACAATAATTGGTCTTTTTCCGCAATTATGTGAGCAGTCATAATCTGATTTTTTATTCCGATTTGTAAACCGAAAGTTATCCATGGAAACTTTTACTGAGATCCCAGACAGACTTGATGATGTCGAGATCAGGACTCTGTGGGGGCCACACCGTCACTTCCAAGACTCCTTGTTCGTCTTTCGCTGTATGTTAAAGGTCATTGTCATGCTGCAGAATAAATCAGGTGACTCCCTGATGGAACTGCATGATGAATAAGTATCTGCCTTCACTTGTCATCATTGAGGAGACCATTCATTTTGACCAAATCCACAACTCTGTTTGTAGAAATGCAGACCCAAACTAGCCTCCCGCAACACAAGGGAGGCCAAATTAGCCTCCCTTGTGTTGCTGCAACGTAGCAAACAGGGGCGTTTCACAGGGACGCTGAAGGGTGCCTTTAGTGTAAAATCCTTACGCTTTGTCACGCTGTCTGAAAGCGTTAGTTATGATGCATTCAGATGAGAATGTGTTGGTTTAGAGGAGCACTTTAATTTGTAAATCTTTACACTTGATTATGCAACAGAAATTATAAAAAGAATTAAAGAGATTTGATTTAGATTTTTCTTCTGTTCACTCAAATTCCTCCTATGTGTACATACACCTGGCCAATAAAAGTGACTGATGTGTTTTCATCCTAAATTTGAGTTGCAATAACTTCTACAAGCCACCAGATGTCACTGTGCTTTCTGTTTCCACAAAGCTTCAGGGGCACTTCCACACTCAGTCACCGCCTGCACTGCTTTAATATAAACTAGATACAGCACCGGGTGAGTTTGTAACACCGTTTAAGGTTGTATTTGGTTTGATGATGATTTGGTGATTTGGTTTGTGTGAAGACTACAACAGCACGTTGATGTGATCAACTCTACTGTAACTTATGAACCTGCTGAGCTTCTCCTCAAATTAACAACCGACCAAAATATCTACTGAGCAGCCTCCTCACCTGTGACAGAGATCCAGCTGGATGGAGACTCTCCATGACCGCTGATGTCACACTTGACTTGGAAACATGGTGGATGGACATGTGACCTGTAGGCTCTGTCCTGATGAGGGAGCCATCTTTATCATGCAGTATCACTCGTTTATCTGAACAAAAAGATTGGAGTTTACCTTCCATAAAATAAATAAGCATCTACAAATAAAAACAGAGGTTTGCTTGTTGCTCTGTCTCTCATTTAGCTTCGTCAGAACTTTAGGACGAGGACTGTGGTCTTTGTCCTTCATCTCTGACGCTGTAGTCGTATTATGAAGGGACCACTCAGCGTACATGTGGGGCGTGAGCTGATCCTTTAAAGACCTTTTCACAAAGCAAAGAGTAAAAGCTCTTTTACTTTTACTACTAGTTTTTACTGGTGAATTTAAAACCTCTTTATACAATCTTCCGGTTATTCACTACTTTTTAACGTTTCATTAAGTGTCACTTTGTTCCTGACATCCCTCACTTTCCTTAATAATGACTCATATTATAAAGCATTACTGTTCATTTTGTAAATATGAAGCACTGAACTGATCCTGCTGTGTCTGTCAGTCAGTTCATGAAAAAATAAATAATAATAATTATAATTATAAATAATAGGAATGACTAATAAATAAACGTTCAGATCGGGAACAGATCCACTCAGACTGGGTCTGGGGGTTGCAGGTGCGGGATGACCAGCGGATGATGCCCTGACGTTTTATTCAATTTTATTTTATTTTATTATTGTTATTTTTAATATAATTATTTTTTAATTTTGTTCTGCTGCATTTACTCTCTATAGTTCCCCACTCAGTTTCCCCCACACCACCTCCCTTTTCCTACCTCTTGAAGATACACACACACACACACACACACACAAATTGCTTAAGCAAATAACACCCAGCTTTGAGCAGCCCGGGTGAGACCATTCAGCTGACGTCCCTCCCAATTCAGCCAACTGTCCGCTGAGGTTGGCAGGACAACCTACAGTGGGAGGGGCGTCACAGTGTGCTTACTTTTTCTAATGTCTGTCGTGCAAATGTGTCTGTCTGAACAACAGTTGCCATGGACACAGGTGTGGTGTCCTGGCCTCTTTCTTCCAGCTGGGATTCCTTCTCAACAGCTCCGTCTCTAGCAGATCCAGTCCTCCTGTTTGTTTGTTCTTTTCCTGGGAAGCGGAGTATGGGCCTGCATTTTGCTGCCTTCCTGCTCTTCCTGTCTCACTTTCTGCACCAGAAAGTATCCAGAAACCGAACAGAGTCACAAACGGGGCAGTCACAGCCCTGCAGGTGAATATACAAATATCCAGGCTGGTGGCAGCAGCTGAAGGCTCAGCGACCTCTTGTCTTCTTCACTGTGTTTGGTGAAATCTGACCCAGCAGTTATTTGCAACCGTCGGTCAGTCTCTTTCATTTCATACAAACAATGAACATTTTGTAGCTGCAGTTGTGCAAAAATAAATACCTCCATGTGGAATTGGATTCCTCCAAATATTCAAAAGGTAGCAGTAATATAACACAAAGATGTTACAACATGTTTATTTCGGCTTTTCGCTGCAAACCACACAGGTGGATCCGGATCCAGATTATCTGTACAGCCCATTGTAGACCTGGCTTCTACCCTTTCCCAGTTTTAATTCTTGTGGATTATGTGCATGCTGCTGTATTGTATGTTTTATTGTCACATTCACCCAAAACGGTCTATTAATGTTAAAAGTGCAGCAGGATTTTGACATCGGTCAATATATTCTGTGTTTTAGCAAGTTTTTCATGTTCAAAACGATATAAAACTTCACATTTATAAGCACCTTTCAAATCACCCAAGGACACTTTACAGATGAGACAGTCAATAAATAATACAAGACAGCAGATGCTGATCCTGCGCTGTGTTTTATCCTGAACCCAGACTAAAGTCTTCCCACAGATTGGAGCTGACTGGTTAGAGTTTGGCAACAAATGTGAGATTAGAGATCGGTCTGTGTATTTTTTAGGTCTGGGGTAACAGTTGCAAAGAAAACTTCCACACACTGTTTAACTTGCAAAAAATATAAAATGTATTGACACAAAGTTTCGGTGCTAGACCTTTATCAGGCAAATGCTCTGGGTTAAAGCAGCCATTTTTAGGCTGGAGGGAACCGAGCCGGACAGAAGATACGCATTAATGATCATGTCAGCACGGAGCAGAGCACAGGCAGACTTGATTTAATCAGAGAAGTGGACTCAAGAAGGCACGTGGTAATACAAATACAAATTTGAAAGTAAAGTTTGTTTAATAGTTGATATTTGCTTTTACAGAGCAAGGTCACAAAGTGGTTTACAAGAGTAAAATAGTAGAAAGAATAATATCAAGTTGAGTGGACGTTTGATGTAGCTGCTGGTAGATACAGTTTGGTAGAGGAAACTGAACTGAATGATCCTTCATTCTTCTGAGTTTGGATCAGCGTGAACGTGCTGCCTTGTGACTCTCTGGACTGGCTGTGTTCAGTGATTAGAGGACAGGAGCAGCACCGATCAGTCCCCCAATCAGCAGCCAGTTTGCATCCTGACGACCAATCACTGATCCCCATTGTTTGTTTGGAGAACTCCTCCTTCATTGTTTTTTCTTCTCTGAACACAGTCACCAGAGTGAGACTGGATCCTCTCTTCATCATGTTTCTACAGCAGCCTTCATAAAAAGACTGGAAGTCACAGGCCGTATACATCAGGACATGTGACATACATGACGCTGATCTACGAACTCGCTCTCATCCCAGGGCGTCACATATGGACGCATAGTCAACTCCCTTTGGTGTCGCTTCTTAACAAGTTAGCAAGAATACAAATGCAACATCTGGTTAGACTCTGATCGCCGTGCCGTTCACACTACACAACTTGCCGTGGGAGTCTTGAAGTCGTTGTGGCGTTCACACTATGTGACTGATCGGTGACAGGGGGTCACACACTACACGAGCTGACAGCGACTCTGTCACCCGACGCTGGTCTCCAAACCACGTTTTGTCAAGAAAACATACTTGAAATGTGAAACGGGAAATTACACGAACCTGCACATCAAACAGTTGTTTGTTATTATAAAGACAAAGAATCTGGTTGAAACAATGGATCAGCACACGCAGGTAGCAGGGATTGTCTGAGCTACAGAGAGAGCTGAGTAGTTCACACATAACGACTGGTGACTGCCGATTGATCGCTAATTTACCTGTGATCACAGCCGGCAAGATCTCCGACCGGCATCGTGTAGTGTGAACTAGGCTTGAAGGGCTTCCCCGAGTGCATTAATCTGTGACATGAAAGGGAGCCATGTGTGTTAGTACCAGACGCTGAAGGACGTGACAAAGTGTAGCTGTTTGAAACTTTGGGACTGAGAACGGGCTGGATTTATTCACTAACTCTCATGTACTGTCTCTGGACCCTTCATTGCTCTGCAGATCACGAAGATATACAGTTTCAGGAGCAGGAGGCTGGTCTGAATTATTCTCTGCGTTTCCTCTACATTTCTCCTGACAAACATCTGTGTGACTAACAAAACAAAAAACAACAACACCAACAACACCAACAACAGCACCAACAACAGCACCAACACCAA